ATAAAATCCAGGATTGAAAAACTAAGCTCATTTTATATCAGAAACACTTAAGGATGAAAGAATAGAGATTCCATAACATGTATAATCTGTTTAGTAAAAGCCGAGAATTTTTATTACTCTGTTATATCGTGTTTTTTTCTGTCTCCTGATAACAAGTGGCTACTGTATTTCCAGTAAACCATGAATACTTAAAATGTCTTTGGTTTCCGTAAATAATCAGTTATGAAATATGATGTTCTTTCATTCTGATTATTCTGGATGTTTTCAGTTTCCTTTTTTTTCCACTTCCTCTTGCTTTTGAACACTAGTAAGCATCACACGTGCTGCTCATACTTCATTCATGTTCTTGCTCAAAACTTGGCCTGTCGCATGTATTTTTTTTTCTCTACATTTTTCTGGTTTAAACTCAGTTGCAGTTCTATAATCTTCATGTTACAAACAGTTTTCTTTTGTTATTCTTCAAAATGTTTCTGTGCTCTTTTTTTCTGTTTCTCTTAGTTTTTTAACTTCTTTTCATTTTCCAATTGTTCTTGATAATTTATATGTGCTGAGGGAGCTAATTTCAGTAGTCCTTTGTAATGGGTACAAGATGGGGCTTTGGTCATACATGTTTAGTCCTTCCTTAACAATCAAAAGTGAATTAAGCATTTTTTCCAACACTGATGCTCTATCAGGAGAAAGTGCCCGGTATGAAATTGACCGTCTCTCTCATGGGAATGTTGATTTCACTAATTTGCCTATACTGGGATATTTATCATTATCAGAAACTGTTTATTTTTTAATGCTTCGAGATGTGTAAATATTGATTTCAAAATAAAATAATAAATCTGAAATAAATATATTTCAAATAATATAAGTAAAATAATATTTTATTAATGATTTCATAAATAGCAAGGAACTTTTTCTAGCAGATGAATAAAAACAACATTGTTAACCTTTTGGGAAGCGTGTGAAAATTTTTCTCACAAGCAATCACATGTTGTACTTTTTAAAACAGTTCGAATCTTTTAATTTATTTGGTAAATTTTATATGTAAATATGAATTTACATTTTCGTTTACTTCTTTAGTCTCTCAATTAATGCACAATTATAATCAGCATAAAAGAAAATATTAAAAAATGGATATTTCACAAGTAAAGTAATCACACATTTTATGAAAATAATACTTACTACATGGAATAATTATACTTGTAGTCAATTTAAGCATACATTTAGGAAGATATAAATGTGATTTAACATTAAAAATATGCTATGAAATCATTATTTAACTCAAGTTTACAAAATTATTTAAAGATAAATCAAGTAAAAAAATATTTTTGTAAACGACAACTCCATAACCTGATTGTTAATTAAAACCAAGTAATCTGCCAAATTATTGGGATATAACAAGGGTAACTAAATAGTCAGAAACGAAATAATTTGTCTACTGGTAAGAGGTTACGCTATTATCTCGTGTTAATTTTAATAATTATATATTTCGAATTTAAAAGCAGCAGCAGTGTTGTCAGCTTGAGAGAGTAATCCCTCCACCTAGTCTGTTTTCTCCTGCAAAAGGATTTTAGTGGTTTTCTTAGAAAACAGCCAAAAACGCAGGGATGCTTAGAATACTCATTTTTAAACTCCGTACAAGGAAATGCAATTTGGAAGAGGTAGATTTTGGCAAATAATGAAAATATGGCATGAGTACAGTACACAACTTTACTCAACACTGGATTCTGAATTTGTAATGAAAGGGATTTTTTAAGTGCATAAAGGATTTTTTTACATATTGAAATAAATTTTTGTTTCCTATAACCCAGTGTTTTTCAACCTTCTTGAATACGTGACCCCTTTACAAGTTAAAAAATTCTGGTGACCCCCAGGGCCATATTTAAACTATATCAGTGATTTTAAAAACTACGTATTTAATTTTCTTTCTTTAAATATCGATCGAAAAACCAATTGTACTGTAAAATAAACAGGTACAGCCTTCTCACTGAAATTCTAGTTTTTTTTTTATTGTAGTGTAGGACCTATAAACACTTGTCTTTTCTTACACCCACAACCCCCTGTGTAAGGCTTTGCAACCCCCCTGGGGGTCACGACCCACAGGTTGAAAAACACTGTTATAATCTAACAACACTGAGCAGCAGTTGCAATTTTGAGTCCCGCTCAGGGCCAAGTATTTTCTTCCAAAAAATTCTATTCCAAAAGTCCAATAATTCGGCAGATAGTTTAGCATTGATATTATTTTTGATTTGTCCCACATCTTAATTAAGCACATGAAAATGACCAAAAAAGTGAGGATACTTCAGAAAAGTGAGTACAAGTGAGCGACTCCAAGGCCTGTTATTATTATCCCTTCTTTCGATTTTCTTCAGTACTGATTTTTTGGTCATAACATAAATTATAATATTTGAATACTCTAAAACCAAATTTTCAATAACACATAATTAATAAATATTATATTACAGTAGAGCGTCGATTATTCGAATCAATTGGGGACTGGGGTTGTTTGGAAGATCAATGTTTCGGATAACCGATTATGTACGAAAAAATATATTAATTTATTCCATCTTGACATTTTTCTCCATTGCGTGTCGCTTTGCGTTGAATTTTCGTCGATGTTAAGCCTAACGAAGACTATTGTATTGTTAAAAATTATTTTTTTATTTTGTACGAACAAAATAAATATATTGAAAAATATAAAAACAATAAAAAATTATACTTCAGAAGTTAATTTAGTATCAAAAACGTAAAATATTTGAGTAGCCCAAGACATAACCAAAGATTGCAGCACCACAGCACTGGCGAAAATTTAAATTTGCCAACTGGAATTCTTTTGGATGATTGACTTTCAGATAATCAACGTTCTACTGTATTAATATTAACTTTAATAAAGATGTATGAAAGTTGACTGGCAGAATTTAAAAATAAATTAAATTCTGTTAATTAATTTTCTAATTACTATAGCACACATTTAACGTTACCACAATATAAACTGAGGTCACGGGACTGTGTGCAATTTCTCATAAGTATAAACTAAATATTCTATTTTAAAAGTATATTGTATTAAACAAAAATAAACTTTATAAGTAAAATTAAAAGTACATTTTAACAAAAATAGAACATTTTTATAACAAACAAACAATCAATTCTATAGTAGAAATTACAATTTTATAAAAATTTTTGTTAATAAAGGCATGATACTAGAAAAGGTGTGGAAGTTATCTTTTAATATAATACTAATTGTAAAAAGTCTTAACAAGACCACAATTCTGCTTTAACCTGAATTAAATTCCTTTGTAAGAAATTAAATTAGTAATAAAAATTAATTGTCCCCATTTTAATGATACTCTCTCTAATGTTTATTAACCTAGCTTGTTTTATATGTCAAGATTTTCAATGTTTCCATAATTTCATATGGTTTTATTTCTGAATTTAGACATCTTGAGTGATAACTTTTAGACTAAGAAAGATATATGTTCAATCTGCAATTCTGATTGAATAATAAGAAATGTTAAGTTATTCAGAAAAAACTAATCTAAATCTAAATATAATAAACTGCAACTCTAACTTTATTAATTAGTATTTTTGTGTTCCTCATGGCTAAATATATATATAACTAGACTAGCTGTTACCCGTGGGTTTGCCTACACAGATTTTGCAATTTGATAGAAATAACCCTCCCTTGGTACTTCACTAAGATTCTCAATCATTAGTTGTTACTAATTTGGTAAAATTACTGATTTTTGTTTATTTCAAACTATGGACTGCTAATGCACCTAAATTCAAGTTTCAAATATTATGGGATTCTGAGATACGATAAATCTGAGCTTAATTTTTTTTTCAAAACATAAATGACATTATCTGAAAATTCTTGAAGTATAAATATTTACAGAAAAAGAGTTTCAGTTACCCCACTAACTGTGAAAACCACGTTTGTGGTACTGCCTTTCGGGGCTAAGACTTTTTAAGCCTCAATCCTCTCCCTCTCCCCCACAGGGAAATTTCCAAAAATCCCTTCCTAGTGTGCATTCTCATTGTGTATCCTACTAAAACAAAGTTAAAAACAAGCAAGAAATGAGAAAATTATCATCCAGGCATTAAGCAATGTACAAGTATCGCTATAAATTACTAGCGCTTTCGATGAAACTATTTTCATCTTCTTCAGGCAGATGAAAACGGTTAATATCCTTTTATTGAATAATGATTTCGAATTACTCCAACGACAAAACAGCTTTGAAATATAACCAAAAATGATCATTTATAACGATACTTGTACATTGTTTAATGCCTGGATGATAATTTTCTCATTTCTTGCTTATCTATCGATTGGTGTGAAGTCCAATATCTTTCACTTTTAAGTTTAAAACAAAAAATTGCATCTAAAATAGTACAGTAGAAGCAGTTCTTCAGGTTAAGCCTTAATCCTTTCCCTCTCCCCTGTAGGGGGATTTCGAAAAATCCCTTCTTAGTGTGCATATTGATGACATACCCTAACTTTATACAAAATTTCACTTCTTTAGGTTCAGCAGTTTGTTCTGGGCAATGATGAATCAATCAGTCAGTCAGTCAGGACATGTAATTTTATATATATAGATAGAGTCATCAAAATCAAAAGAAATAGTTTTTAAATTAGGGAGAAAAAAACATATTAAATAGTCGGACTTTTAAAATAGAATAAATTTCATATTGAAATATTAATCTTATCTAACAAAGTTCATTTATACAGTATTTATTTTATGCAAATATTGCAATTATCAAAAACTAATGTATTAAATGGAATAAAATTAATTTATATGAAAAATAGTTAAAACTCCAGTCTAATCAATTCAGAATGATTCAGAAAGCTGGAATGTATTCTAGACTCTTAATAAATTTGTTTTTGAAACAAACAGAATTAATGATAATTTATCTAAATTTATGATTATCTAAATAATAATACTAAATTTCATTATTATTTTCATAATTAAAGTTATGCAAACAAAACTTTTAATTTTACAATATTTAAATCTTACCTGCCTAAAGCAGCTCTTTTTAATTGTTTACAACGATAAAGTGAATCACCATATTTCAGTAATCTAACATATTCTTTTGATACACTGCATAAAAAAATTCATTATTATTTACAATAGTAAATATTCCTTAATATTTCACATAGCAGCAAGATTACACACTCGTTAACCAAAAAAGTTATGCAACAAGAAGACAGTGTTGGAATCATGTAAACTATATTAGTACAAACATAATGATGATGGCAATAAGTGATTACAATATCATAGCAAAGTGACAATTTTCTATGCAACAATGTTACAGTACCTTGTAGCAGTGCACAAGATAATAAGCTTGTAGAATCTCCTCTTGCCTGGATACATGTGGCAATATAGTCAGATAAAAAGCAGACAGGCACTATATGACTTCAAATTTGTCGACAGATGTTGCACTGTCACTCCAGACCCTTTACACTCAATAAATGGCCAAAGCAGGCAACCCATCTGGTCCCACAAATGCTTAATGGACAATAAACCTAGACATCAAACAAACTAAGGAAAGATGGCAACACAATGAAGATATTCTTGAGAATCCATAGTTTCACATGGATGAGCATTCTTTTACTGAAAAAATGGTTGTTTCTGCCCAGCCACTACATGTAACAAATTAGGGTGCAAAATTTTCTAAAAGTACTGATTGGTCTCTAGTACTGATTCCTTGCATCAGTACTAGAGGCAAATTGTCATGCAATATGGCTCTCCAAACCAATATATCAGCAGTGAGACTAGTGTGAATGTACAACAGTAACAGCATTAAAGCAGTAAAGGCACGGTAGAATTGAAGTGTTTACACTTGATCTTCTACACTAACACAGTAGACAGACATCCACTTCCAAACAGAACAGACTGAATGTATCACCATTAGCAATGATATGCTATCAGTCTGTAGCAGTCCATGCACTCTCATAAACAGGAAGTCCCTAAGTGTGCAAAAACACGGTGGCTATCCGTTCTCCATCTCCAATCCTGTGGAATTAATCAATCAATTAAAACTGATCACATCCCCTGATTGCATCACGGTGTTAGATTTTAAATCATTATATCTGTCCAACAATCCATGCTTTCTATCACAACATCATTTCAAATGAAGCCAACAATGTTGGGGTGCTAATGGCAGGAAACACAACAATTATCATGCATGTAAATTTACCTTTGTTACCACTAGCAGGGAATAGTAGTAGTACAAGAAACAGGATTCTATAGAAAGGCTTCCACCTGTCTTTAGACATAAATAAAGATGCTGCTGCAGTTGTTCACAATTGTCTGATGAGCAATCATGTTCCCAGTGGTCTGGCTACAGCAGGGATCACTACAGTGGTCAATATCAACCTCCAGGGATCTATAAGGTATTTTTGGATATTAATTGAAAAGAGTTCATCAAGAATTATTAGTCCAATGGGTTATGTATATGACAGTGACAGGATATGGTAAATTTGCACACTGAAATACATCTTTTTATGAAAACTGTGTGAATTAGTGGTATTAGTAAAAAAACAAATAGCAGGTTGATAAAAATGTCAAGAAATCTTTGAAGGAATTGACAGTCAAAAAGTTTGAGAATCCCTAATCTAGGACATCCAGAGCTTGGCCACTATGTATGTGTGCTCTCACGTATCCACTTTCTCCAACATCTCAGTTAGAGTAGCCCAGATGGCAGGCAATTTGGCGAAATGTCCATCCTGCTCTCCTCAGCCTGATGATTTAGCCTTTCTCATATACTGTCAGTTGTTTGTATCTTTAACTGTGTTGTAGTGTGGCTGGCATTCAGACACCTCTAAATAGGTACACTGAAAAGTCTGAACATAGCGTGTCTTTATGAGTCTTTTTATAGGATATTGGTGTTGCAATTTTAAGACACACTAGTGACATTACAATTGGGTCTAATTAAATACCAGGTAATCATTTACAGGCCAAGTTTTGCAGTAATCTGATAATTCTATCTGGGTGCATAACTTCTTTCGTCAACAAACTGTAAAATTATTTAGTACTATTATTACTTACTTGTCAATCAGGTGACGAGCTGTGTTTAATTGTCCAAGTGCTAATTTATAATGATCCTTATCATATAATATATTCATTAAATCCGCAAAAAAAGGATGAATGTCCTGAAAAATTATTTATAACATTAAAGAACTTAACTAATAAAAATGAAACATTCGACAACAATATTAGTCACAGCACAGTTAAATGAAATAATTATAATATTAACTCAGTTCCATATAACTTATAAGTAAGCAAAATAATCTCAATAAATTTACTTTAATTTTGAAATTAATTTTTCATAGTTTTTTTAATTAAAAACCTTTCAAAGATGATCTATGAATTCCAAGTAAGTTAGAATTTATAAAAATGAACAGTTACACCAAAAAATATCCAAACTTTGACAAATCCTAGATTACTCTCCTTATTCAATAAATAAACTTTTAAGTTTATTTATTGAATAAACTTAAAATAACTTGATTAATATTTTACATTAACAATCATTAACCAGCAGTTTAAACATATTTTCAGTTTAACTATTCTGATCTTTTAAAACTGACTTTTAAATATTATTTTTCAGAGTTTAATTACATTAAAATATGAACATCCAAATATTTTTAGATAGTTAAAAATCTATCTTCAAATTATACAAAAACAGAGAAAAGCAGGCAAACTTATTGCACTTTTACATCATACAAAATTGAAAAATTGATACACAATAAAATCTGTTAATTGTAATAGTTTTTTGAGGGTCTCATTTAATGATGATGATAAGCGACTAATATTAAATACCATTAATAAATAAAATCTACAATTAATAAGATTTCTGGTGAAGTTAACTGACACTGACATGAAGTTAAAAACTTAGAAAATGTTTTGTAAAGGAAAGAACATTATAATAAAAATGACAAAAGTTTAAAAAACTATTCAACAGGGTCAGAATTACTTTAATTAAAAATGTATAAAATAAAATAAAAACTCAGCCTCTTCCAATTTCAGAGGTAATTAAAACATTCAAACAATTCAATCAAAACAAGGTTATTAAAAGAAGTGTAAGTAACTTATAATACAAGTTCTTTTCAACTTCTACATAAAACTGGATATATATAAAAGTCTATTAAAATTATGCACTGGAATTTTAATGTTTTTGAGAGGAGTGTAATTATTTAACTTATATGTTAGCATCCCTTCCTGCACCTGTAAAACTAAAAGTCTCAGTTTGACTTGAACACCCTCACACACACACATATATATAATTTAATCTATTACAACTTCTTATGTATATATTGTTCATTTGGAAAAAGAGATCTAGGTAACATGGTAGCATAACTGTCAATGCACCTGTACTAAAAGTAGAAGTCGTGAATCTGATTCACTCCGTGAGTTGTTCTCTAGAAATTTTAGTATTTAATTAATCCACTTTCTAATTAATCTTAATCAGTTGTTAGTTTAATCATTCTTATTATAAATTGTTCTATTTTCTTATTTTAGTCAAAAATAATTTGACTGATTATGCAGAATTTTTTGGGCCAACAATTTCATTTCAGAAATGAAAAGGCTTTGATTAAATGTCCTGCAAATATACATCTATGTAAAGAAATAACTTGCTTGCCACTTCCAAAATACCCCATAATAACTATCTGGGACAAGTCAATTTAAGTGGTTTGTTTTTCGCTGAAAATTTCTTATTCATGAGAGCATTCATTGATAAACTGGACAAAACATGTTCATTGGATGCAATGAACGCAAGAGCCTGTCAAAACAAGCTCCTTTAAAGAAACTATACACTGTTCATTCATACAAGTTTCAATGCAGTTAAGCAGTCTTGAGAAAAGCAGTCTGTCTACTGAATAGTAGTAAATTTTTAAACACTCCAAAAACAAGCTAGATTGATTTGCTTTAGAGAAATCAAATATTCACTAAGCAAAAATCCAGATATTCAAAATATAATGCTTGAGTCTCTTCACTCACAGCAGTTGATGTTGAGAGATTGTTTTTGCACTTCAAAGATTTACTTTCCTTGCACTGTCTGCATCTAATCATGGAGAATGTAAAATAACTGTGTTTGCAAATACAAAGCTTTTCTGTTTGTACACTATAAAACTGACAAATCACATTCTGAGAGTGATTAACTGATTTGAATTTTTTATAATTTTCTCAAGTTTTACTTGTTCTACGTATATTTTTATGCACAATAAAATGAGTTTATTTTTTAATGTTTTTAGGAGCACTTTTTTTTGCAAAGATCCATCACTTTTTTTTTTGCAAAAATCCAGCATCTCAGCCTCCCAAGTTCTGCATTTTTCAAATTATAATTTTGTTACGTGCTATATAAAAAATATTATATCTTTAAAGATAAAGTTTTTACTATCCAAAAGCATTTGGAATTAATTTTTATATTTTAAATAGATAAACTCAAATAAAGCAGTTTTTGAGAAATGAGCTAACATAACAATCCACGAAAAAACCTTTTTTTACGAGTGTTATGTCACAATTAAATTCCACAAGTACTTTCGACCTCCACCGAGGTCTGCTTCAGGTGGTGACTGGCCGTGTTTCGACCCGACCGTCGTAACGATGTTGCCAACGATGTAAATAAATAAATGTGCGCGTCAGGTTTCACCCCTCTAACCGCCATTGCTCGAACTCCTCGAATAAATACTTCCACGCCTGTGCAAGTGTTTCCCCATCCCTGTAGTTGATGCAGTTGCCCCCCATGATAGCTTTGTGAATCTCCCAGGCCTCCAGGTGACGGATGTGATCCGCGCGGAACGTGTGTCTGATAAGTTTGGTGTTCCGGAAGTCCGCCCTTATTTCAGGGTCGGTGACATAGGTCGATAAGGCAGTGGTGTGTCTTTTATGCTTAATATCAGCTTGGTGTTCACGTATTCATTTCTGTGTTGATCAGATGGTGGAGCCAATGTAAACTAAGTCTCTATTGAATCTGTCGTCCCGTATGGGAATGGAGTAAACACCTGGAGCCCTGGTGAGATCTATTGCGTCCTTCGCGTTGCGCAGCAAGTCGTAAAGCGTGCCGGTTCTTAAGTACGCGATTTTGGTGCGGCTGTTGCTAGCGATCTCCCTATATAGGGGGTCTAGATGCCGGTTGAAGCGGACGACCGCGCGTCTCGCGTTCCCATCCGGTTGGCGGTTGTCGTCCGGCGCATGCACGTGCTAAACCGCGGACCAAGGCTTTGCTATAACCATGTTCCACGGCAATCTTTTCTATGCGTCGGATCTCCGACCATGCGTTGCGCACATGCGTGTGGTGCGTGAAGGCCCGTCTGGTAAGGGCCCGGAAAGCCGCCATTTTGTAGACAAAGGAGTCAGAGGAGTTCGCGGGGATGAACAGCGGGAGTTGGTCAGGTTTATGGTAGACGCTAGTTTCTATTTTGCTGCCCCTGAGACGGATGTTAACATCAAGAAAATGAGCACTCGAGTTGCTAACCTGATCTAAGCCGAGGGTGAGGCCATATGCATTGTCGTTCATACACGACAAAAAATCGTCCAGATTGGGAGTGGTTTTCCACAGTATAAAGATGTTGTCCACGTATCTTTGGTATAGACTGATGTTTGGTAAGAATTTGGGCAACACTTTTTCCTCCAATTGTCTCACCACCAGCTCGCACAGGTCCCCCGAAAGCGGGTTGCCCATGGGGACACCTCGTCTTTGTAAATAAGTAGCCTCATTGAACTGGAATACCGAAGTGTAGCACATTAGATGCGCCAGCTCTAATATCTGCTCACAGTGCCGGAGTGCTCATTCTCCCGCAGCAGCAGGTTCCTAAGAGCGCAGAAGCATGGCTGCAGCCTTATCGAAGGGAAAAGGGACACGAAATCCATGACCGTGAAGTGCGGGTCCTCAGTCCTCACCAACCTCGACCCACCGTAACAACTGTACAAAATCAGCAGAATTGGTGGTAGAAAACTTTTAACCCTTCAATCGTTCGGCGGCGATGTTGTGGACGGTCTTCTCGAGCAGCCTCGTAGGGGACCTAGCTTTATCCAGGACCGGCCTAAGAGACGGGGTCTGTTTGTGCGTCTTGGCGAACGTGAACAGCCTCGGGACGTCAGGAGAGGCAACGACCGCCTTGCTCAATCCCCATTACATGGCTAACGACGTGCGGGTGAACCTAGAAACACGAGACTGTAGCTTATCTATGTAGCCGTAGTTGATGGGCTCACAGTCCGTGTCGTCAATATACCGTTGCATGAGAGACCTGTAGGTGGCTTCCTTTAATAGAACGAGAGATTTATTTTTATCCGCTTTTAGGACTATGATGCGTTCGTCCGTCAGCCATTTCCTGGTTTTTCGTAAGATGCGCCACCAGTTGTCATTGCGGGTCCTGTTGACAGAACAAATCGTGAATGCAGCTTTCCACCTGTAGTACTCCTTTCGGGTGTCGCTCAAGCCGTTGATGAGCCTTTTGATGTCGGGCATTATATTCTCCGGGCTCAATTTCGATGGTCCTGGGGCAAACATTGGACCATGCTGCATGATGTTAAGGAGAAAGTCCGGGGGTGTTATGTGGTTCCAAAGTGTTGCCCAAATTCTTACCAAACATCAGTCTATACCAAAGATACGTGGACAACATCTTTATACTGTGGAAAACCATTCCCAATCTGGATGATTTTTTGTCGAGTATGAACGACAATGCATATGGCCTCACCCTCGGCTTAGATCAGGTTAGCAACTCGAGTGCTCATTTTCTTGATGTTAACATCCGTCTCAGGGGCGGCAAGATAGAAACTAGCGTCTACCATAAACCTGACCAACTCCCGCTGTTCATCCCCGCGAACTCCTCTGACNGTTTTCCGAGATCCCGAATATAATTAATTATTTTTAAGATATAGATATTGAAATCGAATTATATAATTATTTTTCATGTGTTTTGTCATCTGTAGCCTCGAAATTTTCTAGTTCGTTTTCAAGATGCGTTGCAGTACTCTACGACAATCAAGAATACTACCGTTTAGTATTCTTGATTTGTCTACCTCGGCTGCTTTAATAGCGGCATCCAGCATATAGCCCGATAATTCGGCAGTTCGTTTGGCTTTAATAATCAGGTTTATGAAGAAAAACTTTATACTTCTATACTTCATACTCATTTGTATCCTTGCCCAATTTTCACAATCTGGCATAATGCAGTTATCAAAGCTACTGGGCATGGTTAAAAATTAAGACAGCGTAAGCACAATTATTCCAGATATTACAGGTTCTGATAAATAAAGAATTTTCAGAATTCTGCCACAAATAGGCTACATATTGATTATTGACGATCTGTGACATGCTATATCAAGTAAAAATTTAAAAAACTAAGCAGGCTTAAATTAATAAATACAAATGTATTCTGACAGTTTATGAGTTAATAATCACTGGTTTATGTTAACAGCACATAATTTATATACGAATTGTTGAATATCCCAAAATTATTGAATTAAGATTCGGCAGAGAAAATATAATTTTGAAGTTTAAATTAGCCCGAAGATATTTTGTATTAAATAAATAAATAAAAAGATCGTGTGCTTTTTTTATTAGCATTTTCACATATGCAATACATTACGTGAGGTAATATTTAGGGAATTTCGCACGGATGCAAAATATCTACTAATTTGAAAATTTCTAAAACAATAATAATATAATTTCATTATCGTTTACTTTAAAAATAAAATAATATAGAATATTTTCAAACAATTAACATTTGTATCTAGAAAATTAGAAATTGTATAATTTTCTGAATGTTTCGTATCTTCAATTACTATGTATTGTATAATAAAAATATTATTTTATTATAAGAAGAGAAATTCCTTATATTGATCTAGCACACTTATGCAAACTTAACACCAAAGATGTCAAGCTGAATAACTGTGTGCATCTTTACATTCTAAAGATCTAAATACAAGATAAAAAATATATTTTAAGAATCATAAAAGTTCTTTATCAATAAAATGACAACTGCACATTTATTTTATTTAATATAAAATACAGTGAACATTAATCCAAAGCAGTTTTCTTCATTTTATTTTTTAACTGTTTTTTACCAAGTTAATACTTTGTAATATATTTTACATAATTCTGAATTATGTTTAATCATAAACTGATGAGAGTAAAATACATAGTACCATATATTAAATATAATTGAAATACATCCCAGAACAACACTGTGTAATACACTGAGTAAAATGTGAATACTCTCAGCATCCAGCTACCTGTTTTCTATACAGTAATGTGTTCCATTCAAACCATTCAAGTGTATGAATACTAAAAGCATCTTCATCTTCACCTTTTTCCATGTTTATATGGGGTCAGCATTTCCTCCATTTCTTCCTATCAAGGGCTTTGCTCTTAAGTCCCTTCTGATTCAGGTCTTCTTGTACCTTATCTTTCCAACACAGCCTTGGTCTTCCTTTTTTCCTTTACTACTAATTTATTGATCCTCTTTCCAACATAATCTTCACTTCTACATTCTATGTGGCCAAACCACCTCAACCTGCAATGTTGCATCTTCCTGCTCAAGGGACCCACCCACCTTAACAGAGCCTCTAATAAAATTGTGACCGAAGGGTCGGCACCTCTTTGGTGCCCTGTCAGGATGACACCACCACGTCTCAGCGGACACGGAAGCCGCATTATTTAGGTCACCGAGCGGTCACGTAACGGAGCGATCAGAGTTGAGATAGAAGGAGAGACAACGCACCGGAAGTGATTTCTCAGACTTTTTTTAATGTAACAACTGTTTAATGGTTAACAATAGGCTATACATTAGGGCTGCTGTTAGATACATTGCTCACTTTAATAGTATTAAGATATTAAGTTTTTACCCGTTTTGAGAGAGAGAGTTTACAGAAGTTCGCGTGTTGATAATTACCTTGTATGAAATCCCAAAAGAAGACAGTTCTGGACTCAGAACTCAGAAAACACAGTTATTAGGCGTGGAAATATCCAAAGGCAAAGAAATATCCAAGGGCGAAGAAATATCCAAAGGCGAGGCACAGGGATAACTTGAGTGGTCCGATCGAGGAACTGGTGACGACTGACTCTCTTTGTTGTTATTGTCTAATGTTGAATTGTTAAAATCGCGATACTAGGTCGAAAGGTGATGAGAAAGTGTCTTTATTAGGCCTGAGAACTTAACAGATGTTTAACTCCCAGGTGTAACAGTTGACAGTTATTGAACGAAAGTATAGCTGCAATGTGAAATGATATAAACACACGAGAAGTCCGAATTCGGATCCTCACAAAATCATTCCTTATTCTATCTTTCCTAGACACTCCACACATCTATCTCAACATTCTCATTTCCGTCACCTCCATCTTTCTACTGAGTTCTCGTAATTTCCCTTGTCTCTGTCCCATTCAATATTGCAGGTCTAACAACTGATTTGTAAAATTTATCTTTCAGTTTGCAGCTAAGTTTCTTGACATATAACACACTGCTCAACTTCCTCCAGTTCAGCCATCCACATTGAATTCTATGTTGCACTTCAGAGTCCAGTCCTCCCCCATCTTGACAAAGGCCCCAAGATACTTAAAACCAAAGAAAACAACATTTTGGATTTTAATATTGAACCCATTTCTGCCATTCAGAGTCATATAAGCAGTTTTAGTTCTGCTAATTTTTATGCTCCTTTCTTCCAATCTTCCAGTTTCTTCTCAGCCTTGGCTTGGGCAGGTTCATCTGCAAACTGCATACTCCACGGAGTCTCACACATCACATCACAAACCAACACATCCATTATCAAATCAAACAAATAAGGACTAAGGGCCAATCTCTGATGTAAACCGACATTAATAGTGAACCCTTCTGTAGTGTCCACACTACTCCTAACTTGAGTCTCCGCTCCCTTGTATATTTCCTTGACAAGCCTAACATATTTTTCTGGAACATTCTTTTTCCCCAAACATCTCCATACCTCTTGTCTAAAAGCATCTAAAGATGGAAATTAGACCTATCAGTATCTATTCCATGTGAAGTAAGTGCTATACATTGATTTTCCACATAAAACTCACTTTTCCCAAAACTGAACTACTGCATAAAATACCAAACTATCAAATGAAATACTGCATTGTTCTGGGGTGTACTTCAATTATGGAAATTAATTGAAAAAATATTAACTGTACATTATAAAATTTCTACTTTTTAAAGAAAACAATAGGTAATAACAATAAAAAGCATTCCTAGCAGTTACAACACACTATCTACAAGCAAAAAACAAAACTAACATTTTCCTTCACTATGCAATAAATTCTGATATAATGACTTGTTAATTATAGTTTTGTTTCAGTATTTGATATTATTTTTATGAAACTGATAAATTCATAACATTAATATGCACTACATACTTAGATATAAAGTGGTACCTCACACTTTGAACAAATCTAACTTCAAACACTTCAGAGTCTAAACACAAAATTTGTTTCTAATTTCAAACTCTGCTTGCACTTAAACCATAAACACAAGTCACCTCTTGCTCTCACATTATGTTCATATGTTTTCAGTGCTTTTTTCACTTTGCTTTTGGTATGTTTGATTATATATATACAGTGGGTGATCAGTTAACAAACATAATCTGTTCCAAGACTTTGTTCATTATCCAAATTGTTCGTTAACCAATTATTGATTTACCATAGGTTTTTATGGGAATTTGATTAATTCATTCCGGAGACTCCAAAAAATAAAAAAATATATACTTTTTTTACTACATTTATTTATATGTAATAGTAAAAATACATATACAGTCGACCCCACTATAACACAGTAGATACGTTCCACTTTATAAGAATTTCACGTTGTAGGAATCCTTAAATACATGAGCCAATCACAGCCTGGCACATGTGCAGTTTATGGACTATGGCTGTTTCAAAGGTTTTCTTCCATAAAATTAATTGATTCTAGACTAATCTGACTCAACATTTCCAAAACACACATAATTTTTTGGGAATAATCCATATAAACTATGCTATAAACAAAAAATTGTAGGTTTACTTACAAAGTATGCACCGTTCGACGACGCCATTGCTTAAGCTTGTTTTCGTCGCGGAGAAGCGCACCGAATGGTCGGCACATTTTCTGATAAGTTATTTTTCTTTGAAAAATTCACTGAACTTTGGAGACATCATTAATGGAAATAATTTTTATGGCCGTTGAATAAGAAATGTTTTTTCACAAGAAATGTATAAAATTACAGTACTGTATTAGACTTACAGTACCTAATTTATATACTGTACAGACGATAGTAAACTCAACTTACCCGCCTAAACTCTCCATAGCGTGTAAGTAGTTCAACTGCTCATCCACTATTGGTCCAGATTCGACCAATCCTGTCACGACACAAGTCGGCAATGACGTTTTACCGCATTTTACGAGACCCTTTTAGTGTCTTTATACGAATATGGTCGCGATTTTTTAGCCGTAATATACGAATCCGCATTATATGAACCTGCATTATAGGGGAGTCAACTGTACTCAACTTTTCATGTTCATAAGTCTATGCAGAAAGAATTACAGAATCTCAATGAACATAGAGTATATTTCAGTTTACTTGATATGCTGTTCACTTATTATTCATAGCAGTATTGAACTGAATTAATATTTCTGCAATAAGTTATTGAAATAATGTTTTTAACTGAATAATAACTTTCAGTTTCAGTAAGAAAATAAAATTGTAAAAAAATAAAACTGCACAAAATCTGTAAACACGAAAAACTGAGTGGGTTTAATAAGTAAGAAGTTTTAATTCTACAATAAATTACATACCTCAATTTTTGGAAAATCTGTTAAAATTTGTGTTAATTTATCATGAAAATTTTGTTGAGTAAATTTCACTTTTCTCATATAAAACTGTCGAATTCTTGAAATCTTGTAGTGTTTATGAACTACAGTTGGAGTCTTCCTCTGAGTCTTTGATAAAATAATATTAATGAAGTCCTAAAATTAAAATTTAAAAAATATATTAAGAAATAATTCTATTGATAAAAATTAGCTTAAATATAATTATTTTAATAAATTACTATGCAATTAGTATTACCACATCCAGGGACATAGCCAGAAATTTTTGAGTGTGAGACAACCATGGAAAAAGTCTACAATGTTGCAGGGAAAGGGGCTTTCAGATCAGTGTAAATTTATAGTCAAAGTTGCAAAATTAAGTCAAATTTTGCAACTTTTCATTATATAAACATGCGTCCTAGTCAAGTTTTAAAAAATAAACTAAATGCTAACAAATAAAATCTTCATTAAATCTGAATCCACAAAAAATATTCTACATGACACCCCTCTATATTTCCACTCCCTCGACCTTTCAAAACCAAAATTTAATAGCATCAATCTCACTTATACACAAGCTACCATGCCAAATTTCATATCATCATCATCACTCCATCCTGAGATATTAATTAAACAAAGTGGACACTAGCACATATACATATATGCATGCACATCCATGGAAATTTTTCCCAATTTTTTTGGCCATTTTGGATTCAGAGGGTCTGAAAATGTGGAGATTTGCAAAACAATTCAGGGTATCAAATTTGACATAATTTCAATATTTTCACTTGTTATGTATACGTAATAGCCAGGAAAGTAAAATACACATTAATTTGATTAAAATGAGTTTACCAATGAAACAAATTTAGTAATTAATTATATAATACATAATAGTAAGGACAAATCTTTTTATTGCAACCACATGATGTTCTATTAAAAAAAATATTGTAATGAGACTGTTATTTAAAATGCATTATCGTGCATTAACTATGCTTCAATGGGCAGTATAGGCTACTTAATTTGTAAAAGAATTAGCTACTTTTCTTGAATTTCTTCAATTTTTACTTTCTCATAGAAAGTAAGCTGTCATGCTTGGAGAGGGAATTTCTAGTAAGAGTTTAAAGTTCCAATGTTTGTTACTTTTTCTTGTAGCACTTATCATTTTTGATTATAAATTTAATTTAGTGATGTTTGTAACATTTAATATGATATGTGGCCTTATTCATAGAAGGATCAAATGGTGTTCCATTCACACTTCAAAAACAAATAATGATATCTTAACATTTCACACCCATGCTCACATAATTATTTGGACATGTCTTAATTTCTTTTGTTTTAATGTATCTCTATTTAGAAACAAATAAATTTTCAGAGAGTTAAATAATATGACTTATGAAGAGAATCATTTAAAAAAATCAGTGTTCTGAGCAATAGCTAGATATTTGACCTTCTGTATTCTTTGTAATCAAAAGTTTGTTTCAACATAATTTGAACAGCAGTTATTAAGCATGGAGTAAGTTCTGCCAATGTGATAGAAATATTATCAGATATTAATTTGCATATACCAAAAGAAAATGGGTAAGAGAGGAAAGAACAGTGATTACTGTCCTGTCCTTTCCACTGTGACCCATTTTCCACAGTGGCAATAGTTTGTCTTCTACCATGTGAAGGGAAAAAGTTGCTTCAGATAAAGAGTATGATATTTGACATATGATTCTTCAACAAGGTGAACTCTCTTAAACCTTGTGTTCACACAATACACCCAAGATCTTTTTCACACAAAGATGCTGCAATTGTGAGAATGGTAAATAAAGATTCTAAATTAAATGCTCCAAAACTGTGTCCAAAATGGAATCAGGATTAGGAAAGAAAGTTTATGTTACCGAATTAAAGGTTAAGTAATGGTGTTCAAAGTTCATTCTGAAATGGTTAAAAAAATTCTATAGAGAGCTGAATTACACAGCCACATGACCTGGTGAAAGCCATTTACTAGCAAGATCAACCAAACAAAAAAAAAAAAAACATATGAAGTTTGAAAAGGAACACTACTGACATGGGTGAGAACAGGTAGTCATACGATTTTTACAGACAAAAGCAGGTTTAACATGCACAGTTCAACTAGGTGTGGAGGAAGCCCAACAAAGAATTAAAAGCAAAGAATATGGTAATATAAACATAACGGTGCATGTCAGTGAGTAGTGTGAGAAATTTGGTTTTCATTGAGGATATCAAGAATAAGGAAAAATAGTTTAAAATTTTGAGGGACAATTTAAAGTGAAGTGTCAAAAACTGGACATGAGAGATTTATGTTCTACAGGACAATGATCCAAAGCATATGGCTTCTGTATATTTGTCCTAAAGTGATCCATCTCTCCTCAGTCCTGATATAAATCTCATCAAACATTTGTGGAATAAACTTCAAAAAGAAATAAATAAAATTCCCACTTATTCAAAGAAACACCTCAAGAACAGTCTTCAAGAGGGATGGGAAAAACTATTGAAAGATTTCACAAAGAGTTGTGAAAAGCATGCCTAACAGACTAAGAAAAGTATTAAAAATCCAGCAATGAATTGCATAACTTTACCCAGCAAAAATGTTAAAACTGCATGTGTTATGTAAATTGTGTAAACTTTTTATATTATTAATTATTACAAAATGGCGAAAAGCTTAATTTTGATGGTAGAGCTGAGTTTTATAAAACATTATAAATGCTAACAACAAGCAAAATCTTCATTAAGTCTGACCCATTTGAGATATGACACATGATCTCCCCACTCTTGACTTTTAATTACTGAAAGTTAATAGCATCAATCCCTGAGATAACTTTAATTTTATATTTTTCTATGCTTATATTAAATTTTTTATGAATAAAATCTATTGTTACATATTATGAAGTTTATTAACAAAATTCTCTGAAATCCCTGCCTGTACATATTACCAACACCGAACAATAGGTTTATAACTACTCACCACAATAAATTAATGATAATGACGCACTCAGAACCAATTACCAAGGTAGAGGGGTCCTTATGAGATAATCCCATTTCAGGGGATCTTTGTGAAATGGTAATGTGACAGTTAGAGAACAAGGTCCTCCCAACATCCTGTTATATAGGCGTTATATTGATGATGATGATATTTTTTTGAAGATTGTTCTGGATGCAACGGCCTTGGTCGATTCTTTTAACAATAATCCTTACAGGTTGACCCCGGAAATGGAACAATCCAACCCTACCAAAGTGCATTTCTTGGATATAAATATTAGAGTGGAAGACTTGGGCATCCACACTTTGATGTATCATAAGCTGGGGTAACGTCATCATGCATGTCATCATAGGTGGGTCATGAGATCTAGTTTCGTACAAGATTGCAGCCTATAAGGCCTTACATGCATAAATTTTAAAGAGGAGATGGTTTTGTCATTGGCCTGGCAAAAATTGATTCACAACTCGCTCCAGCTGTTCATTGTGTCTGGTCATGCTGACTCGTTACGCATGTACGGCATGGTTTTTTGTAAATTTTTTTGAACTTATAATTGAATTCTTATTTAAAAGTTGTTCCATAATTGAATAACCATCTAGTTAAGAACCTGATGCAGAGCCCAGAAGGGGTTCAAAAACATTCGTTTTCATTGTTTTATTATCACACCATAATTGGTTCCAAGTGCATCATTATAATAGGTTTATAATGCGATTTATTTAGAATACATTTTAAGTGACAGAAATTATAAAAAATTTGGCCCTTTGCACAGATAGGAGATTGTTTATAGGTGTCCATAAAGTGATACAAAATCTTATCAACAACAATTACATATATATTTATTTACAAACATGAATAAAACTGGGTTGAAGTTTACCTTGGTAGTCCTAATGGCTGCACTTTGGTTAGCTTAACTACATTTTTAGTAGACATTTCCTTTGTCTTTTTAGGTATTCCTTTCTTTTGTCTACTAAAAATGTAGTTAACATAACATAACCGAAGCACGACAATTGGGACTACCAAGGTAAACTTCAACCTAAAACTGTTTTAAGCATACAGATATATACACCTACTACATATTTTAAATTTTAAATAGTAAAATTTTTAACTTCCTTTTAAAAATATGCAGAAAATTGCATTAGTATGTTGTCATCATTATTTGTCTGCCATGTTGATTCATTCTAGAACAGTTTTTTTTTTTAAAGTCCTATCAAGAATTTTTAGCTATCCAAGAGTATTAACTTAAATGGAACTTATACACTTATATTCCCACAAAATCACGAACTGAGTAAAAATACCATTTTTTACATACAGTAATTCATTTTTGAAGGAATATGTCTCAGATTATCATCACTACTGGATTACAATTGATTAGGAAAGAGTAAATATAGCCATGTTTGTCAAGTCCCTATCGAAAAGAGATTGATTTGTAATTATAACTTTTTCGAATAGTATAATTTCTATTCTATTCCTCTCTTCATATTTATGCTTCTACCTCGTTTATGTCATCGTTTTCACTTTAATTAAGACAAAAAGTTTAACTATAAAAAATTAATTATCTGTAAAGTAATATTTGTTCTTACCTTAGCAGCTGGGACAACTGCAATCTTTTTAAAGTTATAATGAGACATTTTTAACGATTATTAAATATATTACAATCGAATATATACTACATAACTACAAGAAAATCAAAAATGAACTCAGCACGTGGCCTAAAGGGTGAAATTCTATACGTGTTGCCAGATTTTCCGAGATATTTTTAAATATCAAAGAAAAAAAAAACATCTACTAATTTGAAAATTTCTAAAACAATAATAATATAATTTCATTATCGTTTACTTTAAAAATAAAATAATATAGAATATTTTCAAACAATTAACATTTGTATCTAGAAAATTAGAAATTGTATAATTTTCTGAATGTTTCGTATCTTCAATTACTATGTATTGTGTTAATATTGATAATTGTCAATAAAATTCTGAAGCAATTGAGTCATGTGCTTGTCGCTTGCATAAATGAGGATCGACCGAACGGGAGATGAGCATTAAACTAGATCAGACCTGGCCAACCCGCGGCCCGTCACGTTAAATTGTGTGCCCCTCTAAGCGATATTATATATCTATTAAAACTTTTGTTTCCCGTTATGTGTATACCAAAACAATTAAATAAATGAAAATTTGCATGTGTCATTGTTATAATGCGCAAGTGAGAGTACGAATTCTTGGTATAACAATAAAATCTTATTCATTTTGTATTTGTTTTACTTTTTTAAAAGCATGTTTGCTTAAATTGTGGCTCACCGTAATGCTACGCGTGATCAGAGTGGCCCACGAAACAATTTGGGTTGGCCAGGCCTGAACTAGATCTTTTAACTAGCCATTCATCAATACAAATATCACAAAATGGCCCGGATGGAAGAGCGGCTAAGGTAACAACGTACCGCTCTGGGAGATCCGGAATCAAATCTGGGCGGTCCGAAAAACCCCAGGGATTTTTCAGTAGTAGTCCGTCCCGGATATGATGGATCTCGTCCCTAATATTGTGAACCTGGCCGAACCCATAATGAGCTTGTTAATTAAAAAAGGCGTTCTGAATGCTCACAGGGCGGAAAAAGTTAAAATTAAAACAAAAAACAAAATCCATTGGACTAATAAATTTTAATGAACCATTTTTAGTTGACCGCAGACTAATTTTCAAATCCCCAAAAAATGCCCTTTTGATACTTCTGCTTTAATTGCTCGTCGATCCGTCCGTAAACTTTGGTGATGAATGAAAATAAATACAGTAAATTCCTAAAAAACTAAATGAGAAAGGACAATAAAATTAAAAACAAACATCTTTAAAATTTTGTCATTAAAATACTGCTATAATTGTTACATAAAATATGGGTTGGTAACAGGGCTGCGGAGTCGGTAAAAATAAACTCGCCTCCGACTCCTCTGGAAAGAAATTCCTCACGATTCCGACTCCACAGCCCTGCTTGGTAATGCGCAAGTCTTTTTTTTTTGAAAAACGGGTAGATATCGGTACTTGTGAGCTTTATATTCATTATGCAGTTACGTATTCATATGCATTAGTCGTTACTCGAAGGACGTAACGTTTTTGTTTTTGTTTTTTTTAACTCTTTTCGCCCTGTGGGCACTCAGAGGGCCTCTTTTTGCAAGCCCATTATGGGTTCGGCCAGGCCCACAATGGTACGGCCGGGTGGTGAGGGACGGGGTCCGACATATCCGAACGGACCTCCCCCCGAAAAATTCCTGGGGATTTTTCGACCCGTTCGGATACGAACCCGGGTCCCCCAGAGCGGTAGACTGCCACCTTGGCCGCTCGGCCATTCGACCGCATTTTTCTTTTCTTTTCTTTTCTTTTTTTTTGATGTAAAAATAAATAAATAATATGAATAAGCTTCTGAAAGCCTTTTTTATAGGTTATTTGGGAAATGATTTTAAGATATTACCTGGCAGTAATGGAATCAACCGTCATCATTTACAGTTCAGTCTGAGATTTAGATTTATGCCGAATTTTACAGTGGGCTAATCAAACAATTCTAGAACAGCATATGCATTCTAAGAATTTCATTAGCTGGGCATTAAGGTTTCTCATTTCCCAGTTCTTTGCTTGTCCCGGGATTTCGGAAAAAAAGTGAACTGTTTTCCGAGATCCCGAATATAATTAATTATTTTTAAGATATGCATTCTAAGAATTTCATTAGCTGGGCATTAAGGTTTCTCATTTCCCAGTTCTTTGCTTGTCCCGGGATTTCGGGATAAAAGTGAACTGTTTTCCGAGATCCCGGGATAGAATTAATTATTTATAAGATATAGGCCTACAAAATATCTTGAAATCAAATGATATAATTATTTTTCGGTTTTTAAAGTAATTTAATACGTTCTGCAACCTCTAAAATCATAGTAATAATGCTGTGTAAGGTATATATTNTCCCGGGATTTCGGAAAAAAAGTGAACTGTTTTCCGAGATCCCGAATATAATTAATTATTTTTAAGATATAGATATTGAAATCGAATTATATAATTATTTTTCATGTGTTTTGTCATCTGTAGCCTCGAAATTTTCTAGTTCGTTTTCAAGATGCGTTGCAGTACTCTACGACAATCAAGAATACTACCGTTTAGTATTCTTGATTTGTCTACCTCGGCTGCTTTAATAGCGGCATCCAGCATATAGCCCGATAATTCGGCAGTTCGTTTGGCTTTAATAATCAGGTTTATGAAGAAAAACTTTATACTTCTATACTTCATACTCATTTGTATCCTTGCCCAATTTTCACAATCTGGCATAATGCAGTTATCAAAGCTACTGGGCATGGTTAAAAATTAAGACAGCGTAAGCACAATTATTCCAGATATTACAGGTTCTGATAAATAAAGAATTTTCAGAATTCTGCCACAAATAGGCTACATATTGATTATTGACGATCTGTGACATGCTATATCAAGTAAAAATTTAAAAAACTAAGCAGGCTTAAATTAATAAATACAAATGTATTCTGACAGTTTATGAGTTAATAATCACTGGTTTATGTTAACAGCACATAATTTATATACGAATTGTTGAATATCCCAAAATTATTGAATTAAGATTCGGCAGAGAAAATATAATTTTGAAGTTTAAATTAGCCCGAAGATATTTTGTATTAAATAAATAAATAAAAAGATCGTGTGCTTTTTTTATTAGCATTTTCACATATGCAATACATTACGTGAGGTAATATTTAGGGAATTTCGCACGGATGCAAAATATATATATATATAGTATGTTACAACACAACCTTAGATACATGGTGTACAGACCGACAATGGTTCGAGCATTCTTTAAAACGCGCTATTGTTAATTTTCCAGTTAAAAGGGGAAAAAAGACTTCCGGCACACAACAATTATCAGAAAGACACAGTTTATTCCAAAGTATAAAAATATATAAAGACTCTGAAATGTGGACAATTTAATAAAATGTACGAACCATCGGATCTTAACATTCTGGCCCGATCTTTCTCTCGATTTATTGTATCACAAAATTATACAATGAAATACATAGTTCATTAATACATATTATTATAATTATTATGGTATATACAAAATGCAATTCGAAAAATAAAGTATTCGTTGCGACGCGTCGTAAACGATACGTCGATTCTGGACAATAACAATTATTTTATTTAAAACTTTAAGTTAATATTAATCGATACAGTATTGGCATACATCAATATAAGAATTCATAAAATTTGACAATTTCTTTGTAATAAAATTGGCAGTGTTGAGTGTATAAACTTATTATATACATTGATGCTAACTGTTCACGAGCCAAGATACAACACGGCGTTAACAGAGTCAAATATGTGCAGATATTTTCGACAAGTTATCACTTTGGTCAAAATGTCATCTCGCATAATCGACCGAATTAAGACGACGTAGGTTATAACGCCGTCCTGCAGTAGTTTAGACACCTTTTCTAATACCTATCACAATTCTCGATTAAGTTTGCACGCCTTCATATTAAATTAGGAAAATGATCAGGCACTTTAAATTCGAAATTTATTGATTGCAAATCCACAGATAGTGAGGTAACAATGATATTGAGGAAAATACGATCGAAAAGTACAAACAACAATTTTATTTTGAAACTTTTGGCCACGAAACCTTAGACGTATAATCCATTTTTGACTCTTCGGAAGTTATTTTTAGTGTAAAGACTGATAGAATTTAAACTAACGGAATGTTCATCGGAATTAATCCACCCTATGGAATGAGAGTGAGTTTGTGAATGTTTATTAACACGGAACGTGAAAAAGTGCCACGAATCTGGAAAATGGCACTTCGAAAAGTTATTTTGTTGGACGAATACTGACAAATCGTTTGAGCATGAGATAATGTTGAAAAAGAATTTCTAGCTTTGTTGGCAGACATCGAAAAAAACAAAAGGTCGGACGCTAAATTTAATTTCTAGATTTTTCAATTAATTAAATCAAAAATATATTAACGGCAATGAATTTTTTTTTATTAATCGGATACGATTTTAAAGATGGAAGATTGCATAGAAACTTTTTAGTTTAGGTACTGTATAGCAAACTTTTCGAAAATTGCTTATGTTGGCGCGAAATTAATTAAATTTAATAATTTATATGGCACGAAATCATAGAAACAATCTCTTAGAACAGTGGTTCCCAACCTTTTTTCATTAGTGTACCCCGTGACATGCCATATCTCTAGATTGTACCCCTCATTTAAGAAATTTAGTGAGTAACCGTATTGTTAAATTTACATATTGTAACTTTAAATTAAAGAAAAAAAAACTAAAAGAAAGAATGTATAATAAAGTTGTGATTGTTGCAAGGAACATTATTTATCTAATAATTTTTTAATACTATTAGTTTGTGATACATAATATATTATTTTTTCTTCCATAATAACTAACTTTTTTCTGTACCCCTAAACAACCTATCGCGTACCCCTAGGGGTACGCGTACCACAGGTTGGGAATCGCTGTCTTAGAACATAAAGTTTTTACTCTTGAGATAAAATAATATAAATTTAATATATTTAGCTTTTAGAATTCGATCATAAAACGCCGAATTTCGGTTAATTTTTTTCTCAATTTTTAAGCGAGTATAATAATTTCAGAATGCATGTATGGTGTGAAAAAATGTATAAATAATTACGAAAACTAATTATATATCGAAACAATCTGGTCTATTTCGTGTTATTTGCTTCCAAAACGCTAGAGGAAAATCGAAAAATAAACTAAATTTCAATTATTATTTTAAAGTCGGAAAGAAAATTACATAATGAAGTTTGTCACTGACACTTCCTAATTTTTCCGGAAAATAATTACTTAACATATAAAAGCTTTGTTTGCGATCATTTTCGATAAGAAATGAAGAATGGGAATGGCGAAATTCTCGAAAATTACCTGGAAATTCCGTTGTTGTCGTGGATTTCAGAAGGCCAAAGCAAAATTCGCGATAATAAAAGATTTCCTCTCTTCAAACACGAAATTAACATTATGACATCGAATTAATAGAAACCAATTTTGTAACCATAAATTCTACAAATTATAAATCAAATACGAGTAGGCCTATATAATTAATCCAATTAATAGAACTTTAGTTATTTCCTGTAAACAGAAATATATCAGTATTCCAAAAATTTTCTTTTGGTATTCCAAAGAAATAAAACTACATACTAAAAAGTTATATCATAGTTCTTTTTATATTTTAAAAATTCGTGTATTTATGACACTAAAAAACATTTAAACTCATTGTAGGACCAATGTTTCGATCGTACGCGAACCTTTCATTAACGATGTCTAATTATCCAGAATTAAGTAGTAAAACTTCAAAGACAAAAGAAAAATAACTCGCACCTACTTTTTCCTGTACATTTTTGTGGCAATATTTATTAATTAATGATAAATAAATTATGTGATCTATTTTCAAAGCATAATAAAATTTAATATTTGAAAATATAGTATGTAAAACTATTCTCTTCATTAATCACAGTTAGAGGCACGTGGATCTTCGACGACAATTCAGAAACGGTTCATAGTTCCAACATCCGAAGTTCGCCGTGCAATTGGTTGGGTTAATTTTTAGACTTACTATTGCTGGCTCCCTGCTGAACGACATCCGTGTTGATTCCACGATGAATTCTGTGAGAGGTATTATACGATGTGTACATTTCGTACTCCTGAAAATATTTATGGCGTAACGCTTGACTGGCAGTTATTCTCTTATTTGGATTGAATGTTAGCATTTTCTGAAAAAAAAAAAAACAAATCATATACATATAAAAATCTTGAGTCATGTAGGCTCAGAAATTTTGTCTGAGTGAAAACAAATTCGAAAAATTTTTCAAAATTGCGCCTTGGATCCGAATTCTAAAGCATTATCCTACGCAAAAGTCATCTTATTGTCACTTAAAAAAAACATTGTAATTGCAATATCAAACTGTAAGTTTAGTGTCATAAAATGAAATTATATGAGAAATTAATTTTAACTAAGTAATACCATACAAACAAGCCATCAAAAAACAGTACTTAAATGTAACATTTCATGCAGTAAAATTTATTCCAAGATGGATCATAAATCTAGTTTATTCTATTATATAAATTAATTTCAAAAGTTAAAACAACAAATAATTTCAAGTAAGAGCATGGAAATATTGTTACATCTTTATTTTTTATTTCATATTCGTTATCTGCTATTTATTTCTATAAATAGTAACAATGTTTTTGCCTATTACGAAGGAATTCCATTTAAAGAGGGCTAAAAGAAAAAAATTATAAAATGTTTTATTAAGATAGAAAAGTTCACCTATTTTTTTTTAATAGAAAATATTAGATTAATTTATGTAACTGTGAACTGATTTACACTATAAAATATGAGAATTGAAGATTAAATGACCAATTATTTATTGTGACATTGTCACAATGCCAAGCTGCATTTCTTTAATCGTATTTTTAATTTATTTAATTTAAAAAGTATGCTCTCTACCTCAAATTAGTACTGTAGTGTCTTGCTCCTGTACATCATACTTTTCCGTAAGCAATGGAGTTGTGCCAGTTATCTATCAACTCCTTTCAAGAGAAAAGTTTTTAATTGAAATAACGTGACTTCCAGATTGCGCTAGAAGTTCATATATAGTTAATTGGAATCTCCTGCCCCTAAGCTTTCCATATCTGGTCTTGAATTTCATTTATCTAACACAATTCTTGAGATTAAGGAAAGACGGACAGATAACAGTGGGACTTTATAGGTATACAATTTTTTCAAATTGCAGCTCAACAAAATATAATGCAGTAATTCTTCACAATTAAAAATTTAAAATATCCAGAGAGCAGAGAGGGAGGAAACAGACTGTGATCCATACAAAGCTGCAAGAAATTCTTTAATAGTCATTTAAATTTTTAGCGTAATAAGAACAGCAGCAAAATTCTAGAAACAAGTTGAATTAATTGATGTTAGACAAGAATTCCAAAATGAAAAAGTTTAACCAAGAATATTTTAAAATACTAATAGAGAATAAGCTACTTAAAAAAAAAGGAATAAAAAAATTAAAGGCCTAGAAATTGCTATTGTTACAATAGCAATTTCCTACAGTTATGTAGAAATATTAATTACATTAAGCATATATAATACATAAATAGAAGAAAAATACAATACCAACTTATTAATGATAGCTCTACAAAGATCTACAAATTCATGAACTTAATATTGCTTTAGATATAACAGTCATATGAAATACTATTTTTAAAACTTTACAATCATCCAATGTGGGAAAAATAAATAGCATCATAATAAAATAGAGTAATAACTTGATTATTACTCTATTTTATTAATTTGATATGAACTAATTTATATTTCTTTGTAAATTAACTTTTTTCTTATTGTTGTAATTGTAAATAAATAAAATACACATTAAAAATTCCTACATGTATATAATAAACTATTCTATCTATAATAGGCAATTTGAATTCAAATGTGTTATTTGGATTTTTTGTTTACAATTGTTTTTATTTTATTTTTTCAATTCAATTTAATCAATCATACATATTTGGATGAAAGTACTTTTATTTCATTAAATATATGCTTTTTAACACTACAAATTTGTTAATATTGCAATCTTAATACCAATATGGAGTTTGCAGGAAATTCTATATTGTTAAAAATATTACTGAAGGATTGTGGATATCCAATGTTCTTGTTATTCATACATGTTGAAATCTATTGAATATGGTTATTGTAATCATTAGATATGAAAAACTAGTACAACTACTAATCTAAATAATAATGAAATACTGGAGGTTTTTATTGATGGAACATTGATTAAATATAAATTATTTTTCTGTTTATTTATTTATTTTTACATATAATTGAAAAATTTCATTATATTCTTTAAAATTTCATATATATTTTTCATTATATTTTATGCTATTTTACTTTTTGCTCTTCCCATCATTAGTTGTACGTTATTATGAATGTGAAAAATAAATTCAAATTATATCTGATAAATTAAGAAAGATCATCTGGGATTTAAAAAATGAACTTTTATGAATTTATGAACTGCACAACTTTAAATGTTAAACATGTTCAATAATAATTATAAGTACAGTACTGTACATATATATAACAGATTGCAGTAAACTTCTGGTAATAATTAAAAATAGAAAAGTTAAAACTATCTAATTTTTAAATAAATCAATAAAATAATCTCAATTAATTAAACTTCAACAAAATAAATAAAATGAGAATATAATTCCACATTGATCTAATAAGTTATAAAAAAATTTTTGTCTTTCTTGTTTTATATTATAGCTATATTATAGCTTGTTTTATATTATAACTACTTATACAGTAATTATATAGTTTTCATCCAATTCATTCTGCAGAATTTTGATTAATAGACTCTTTACATCAACAAAAATTATGAAGTTTCTGATGAATAGTATCAACAGTTAATTATATAACTTAATAAATTAAACAATTTATCAATAAAGTATTACCTGTAAAAGATCAATGCCATCTGAACACATATCAGGAACAACAGTATGTAAAGGCATTCCTTTTGAACACCTGAAAGATGACCATAGTAATGAAATATCTTTTGGCCAATCTGATTGAGAAGGTGATCCCATAATCCTGTAAAAAACATTATTTTGAAATGAATTTTAATTTAAAAAATCGTTACAATAAATTATCAGAAAAAAATGCTAACTTCAGGAGCCAAAAACAAACTTTATTTTGAAATGTTTTCATTCTATTAAAAGATCATCATCACCTCAGAGATTTATAAATCATTTTAGAACAAATACAATAAAATGAATGTTCTTTTAAGAAAACGAAAACATGTCTGAATAAAATTTGTTTTGATTCATGAATTTAGCATTTTTTTCTAATGATTTTAAATATGGTTCCAAGTGTAATTATTTTACAATAAACTATATAATTTATGTAATATCAAAAAAACTCTGTTTTAAATACTTGTGATTACTCATCAAGTTTGAAAATATTTTCATTTATTTTCTTTTAATTCTATTTATAACTAAATAGATAGTGAATTTTGTCAGCTTAGTCATAAATCAGTCATCTCAAATTATTTTTTGAGATCTGGTTCTGTCTTCAATGTTCTTTTTAATATTTGGAATTTAAAGATGACAATAGGTCTTGAAAATAATTTGTCTTGGTTTAGTTTTTATTCAGTTTCTAGCAAATTAATTCAAATTATTGGTACAGTTCAATATCAAAAGAGAAGATACAAGGTGAGATCAACTGAATAAAGAGATGAATAATCTGCCAAGTGTTTGAAAGGAGCCACTTTATTGTGTCTGTATAAAGCAAAGTAAATTAAAACACGGTTTCATCGGAATCAAAATCAAATTATTGGTTTAATTAATTAATTAATAACTTTTTAATAATTAACTAAAAGTACCATTTTAGACATAGGAGTCAGGAAAAAGGCATTACTTTGAATTAACATTTTTATAATCTACAATTCCATCTTCAGATTTGTTACATTCTGACAAATTAATGACCTAACATTAGACCAAGCCAATATTTAAACAATTACTTGGATAGTGTGTGACAACTGGATTTTAATTCAAAAGAAATTTAAACAGCAAAATATCTTAAAAACATCTTATAAACTTGATTTGATAATAATTAAAATGTTTATTAAATAACTTATTTAAAACAATTATTTATTGTCACAATGCTGGGCTGCAATTTTTAATCATATTTTTAATTTATTTAATTTAAAATATATGCCTTCCACCTCAAATTAGTAACGGATTACCCCTGTACATCATACTTTTCCTTTAATAATAGAGTTATGCCAGTCATCTATCTAACTCCTTTCAGGGGAAAATTTTTGAATTGAAATAATGTGACTTCCAGTTTGCCTCCTGCCCCATAGGTTTTCATGTTTGTCTCATCTTTCATCTATCTAACTCTGTACTCAAGATTAAGGAAAGACATATAGATAGATGTATGACAGACAAACAACAGTGGGAATTTATAGGTCTACAATTTTTTCAAATTGCAGCCCAATCAGAAAACAAAGTACAATATTTATCTAACATGTTATGATGTAAGTTTAAATTTTTTTTGAATTAATACACAAATGTGCTAAGTAACAAATTATTTAAATACAGTATTGGCAGATTTTAATGTTAATTTGTTCAAGTTGTCAGAATGTAACATATCTGAGGATGAAATTATAGATCCTGAAAACTAATTCAAGATAAAGCCTTTTTTAAACTCTTATTAATGTGTAAAGTAGAAAGGACATTTGGAGGTTAGTGGATAAATTATTTTTATTACATTTAATGATTTAAATATATAATAATAATACTGTATAATTATAAGAGACATATCTTTAAATTTCAGTAAAGTAAAGCAGAATTTTGATTTTTGTTTAATCTAAACTTATTATTACTTATACTATTTGATATTTTATTTCATTCCATTCATATTATGCTGTTAAATAAGAGTATATCATAAATAAAATGAACTAAAGAATCAATATCAGTATGAAAGGATTGGTGAATTAAATTTAGTATTGGAAAGGAGCTGTCAAACAAAATAATTCAGAGCTCCCAAATTAAATCATTAATAGCAGGTGTTTAAATTATTTCTAAGTAAAAAGTAAAAATGAGTTAACAAATAAACTTAACATATCATTTGATCTGTTCATTTCATAAAGTAATGATGACAATTTAAGTAATCAAAAAATGTTTATGTATTTTGAAATAAAAATTGAAATCCATTGGTGTTGAAGATTTTTTTTTCTATTTAACTATAAATATATGACTGAATATAAATAAAAATACTAATTTATAAATGAATCAAATGATGATAATTTTAAAAATTGATGTTTTAACCTTCATTTTTCATAATCATTAGTCTTTCATTATTCAAGAAATGTTATAAAAATAGGTTATATGTTTTTTGAATATCATGGATACTGATAATTAATAATTCCAGTTTGATTAACAAGTTCTGAATAAAAATGCTGTACCAATGAACAGAAGATTACTCTGTCTAAACACGATGTCTAATAATACAGTAATATTTTTTAGAAAGTTAACAAAATCAATAAATATGCTGATGAAGTTTGATCAGATAACAAAATTTTAACTTTGTTCTGAAAAATTAACAGTTCAAATTCATTATTTTCAGTTATATTTTATATTTTTGACATTTAGTAATTTATTTCTAAACATATATTGTTTGGAAATAAATTATATTGATGCAGTTACAATTGCAGTTTTAGAATAGCCTATATTTTATAAATTTTGATATTTTTTAACATACCATATTTTCTCAACTACAGTAATACCTCGACTTACGCTACCCTGACTTACGCGAACCCGGAGTTACGCTATTTTCAAATCTCGTCGATTCCTCTTTTGTTTGAGCGCCACGCAACTCTCGATTACTCACTCCCCTCACACTATTGTTCGGCTTACATGTTCGGACGTGTCACGCGGAATCGACACATACCTACAATTTATTTTGTGTTATTTATTTCTGTGTTTGTGATATCTACGGAGACTCGAGAGACTTTATGTGGTGATTTCTTGTAACCGTGAACGAATCAAAAGACGAGATAAGATTAACGAGAACGTTTATTAGCTTACATACATCCGACTTGGATTTTACACAAATTGCGAAATTATACCCCGACTTACGCGGTTATCGCTCGGTCCCACCTATCGCGTAAGTTCGGGGTATCACTGTATAGATGCTTCTGTAATCTAAACCTTACTTCTAAAAAATTATAACTTGTAAGAAATAGTTTTTAAAATTATTTTAAATAATTATACAAATTTATTTCAAACTACTTCAAAAACATTGACATCTACTATTAATATTAAATAAATACCATATCATTATGTCATTGTAATTACAGTAGTATGATTAAGCAAATATTAATTGATGTTGTAATATATAGAAGATCAATTTGTAAAAAGAAAGCATCATCTTTCAATGTTTGCAAAAAAATAATACAGGTATCCCTTGCTTAATGTGTGAAATTAATAGTGGCAATACCTTTATATACACAGAAGAAGTTTTAATTTACATGGCTTTACCACCTGCCTTTACTTAGCATAGATACTGTATTTTGATTAACACAATTTTGATATATGTGGTAAAACTGAGGGATTAATTAACCACATTAATCAAGGGATATCTGTAATAGTAATAGTAAATCGTTTATTATATAAAAGGCATAACACTTGCAGAATATTAATTTTATGTTTAAACTAATGAAAATAATGACAATAGGGACAACTATAAGATTTGAACTATTCTTAGACTTTAGTTACAATATTTAAAATAAGTAGATCTTACAGTTATAACAATAGGTAGTCAAACTAATGGAAAAATATTAAGTAATGACAAATTAAATCAAAAAGCTCATAAAAATATCTTAACTTAGTTCTTAAGAATTAGATCAAAACCATCTTTACTTTCAATGTCAAAGTGCCCTCCAGAGTCTGATGGCTAACTTATGATGATGATATTGTACCGTATGACAGTAGTACATAAATCATAGTTATGTAGTATGTTTTGTTTAAAATTAAAAATTAAAACTGAAAATATTTTACAGAGATATGTCACCAGAGCACAATTGAAAATCTACATTTTCCACCAGTGCTTGTGTCTAGTAAATATAAATCTCTACAGTCTCCATGTATGGATGGAAAAAAGAAGATATCAGTGGTATTACCAACTCTAATTTTAAAAATTTTGTTTTTAATTAGATATTTTTTCACCCTTTTCAAAAGAACTTTTGATGGCCAAATAGCCTATAAAAAAGTTGGCCATCAAAAATTGTATTTTGAAATAGTGAAAGTGAATAAATGGTAACTGCTTTTTCGACAGACTGTGTCTTCAACTTTAATTTTTAATTTAAAATTAATTACCATTCAGTAATATGTTACAATTGACATGATTTATATACTAAGTTTTGATTATGTTACAATGATTGTCCATGTTGTACTAAAATTATGTAAGAATAATTTGTAACATATTCAAAATTTCTACATCCTACATAGTTTCCCACAAATACAGTACACAACCTTAATTTAATGAAGAATTTATGGAAAATGTTGAAGAAAGATGTATGATGATAATGCCTACTTCCATCAACTTTAGTAAATTTTTCTAAAGTTGTATACAAGCTTAATAAATTCCAAAATTGGTTATTGTCAGTAAATAAAAATAATCAATCTATATCTCAGCAATACTTTTAATAAACAAACACTTTAGATCAGTGTTCCGCAACCTTTTTCTTCTTGCGGCACACCTATGACTCGAAATGGCTCAACACGGCACACCAAAATGTTATTCCCCTCAAAAATGTATGATATGATACTATTAGTGGAATTTCGTAATGCCATAAACCTATTATTATTATTATTATGTTGAGTTTTGTGAGTTCTACTTGGTTGACACCGATGGCTGTGTACTATGCTGGACCAGAGTCAAGGCATAGCAACCAAAATAAAACTAAAATTAAATAAGTGTGTCAGTGTCAGTGTCTGTATTCAGGAATTTCCTAACAATATGGCATGTATTCAATATAGTGGCCTTCTGTAGTATGATGTGGCTATTCAATTTTAATGTTCCCAGGCTTTTGTGTAGTGTGTGTGATATGACACCTTTAGAGGAGAGAACGACAAGTACAATAAGCACCCTATCCATCCTCCACAGATGCTATAGTTCCTGGGTGAGTTCTGTGTATTTGCTGATTTTTTCACTGCATATGTTTTATACAGTATTTGGAACAGATATGTCTATAATGTATATGATTTTATTGTGTTTGTCAATGAGTGTGATGTCTTGTCAGTTGTGGTAAATTGTTTTATCTGTGATTATGGCTGTTGTAGTACATTTTGTGCGTGTTGTTTTCCAATACTGTCTGTTGAACGTATTTGTAGTATGTTGTAGTTTGTTGAACGTGGATGTCTAATAATTTGTGGAACGTGAATGTCTAATAATTTGTGTTTTTTTGCAAGTTCTTGATGTATTTGCTACTTGATTATGTCTATGTAAATTATCTGTCTGTGCCAAGAGCTTGCAACCAGATGTGATGTGATGTATGGTTTCTGGCATGATGTGACATTTTCTGCATGTGTCGTTCGTCATTGTTGTATCTTTGAGTATGTGTTTTCTGTAGTTTTTAGTATTTATGTCCTGTATGGCAATCATAAATCCTTCCATCTCCCCAAAGAGGCATCCCCAAGCTAACCAGCTGTTTGATGCAGTTTTGTCAACAAAATCCTGGGGCAGGTCATAGGGATGTCTGCCATGGAGTATCTTTCGCACCCATGATTGCTTAATGGTGTCTACGCTATTTATATGTTGTGAATGTAAATTTAATAGTGTATTATTTGAGTCTGTTAGAATTACTGCTTTATGTAACTGTGATATTTTTTGTTTTTTATAGAAAAACTCTCGCAATGTCTGTATTTGTTTGTAGTGTAGGCTAACTATGTTGATCAGGCCATGTCCACCATTTTTAGGTGAAAGAGTTAATCTTTCTGTGGCAGATTTAGGATGATGATGTTCATGCTTAGTAAGTGTTGTTCTTGTTTTCATTTGGAGTTGCTCAAGACCTGTGTGAGTCCAATATATAACTCCAAAAGAATAAGTGAATACTGGGACAACATATGTGTTTTATTGCTTTAACATCATCTTATTTTTTCATCAGTGAATGAAATAGAAGCATAAGAAACACAACAACTGTGATAAAAATATATAAATAAAGCCTGAAATTAATAGAATCATGTAAAAGTTCATGTCACACCTTTCACCTTGTGGCGGCACACTGGTTGCAGAACACTGCTTTAGATTAATGGACATCATCAAATTATAACTTTAATAAAGTTAAATTTAATTAAACAACAATTTGAATAATTCAAATTTAAAACTTCAAACAAAAATTTTAACTATTCAGCTTTAAAAACATTGTAAATAATTTGAAAAAATATCTAAATAAATAATATTTAGATATTTTTCAAGTACAAACTGATTATTCTTATTTATAATAAAGTTTGATGGAAAAATAGACCATTTAGACAAAATTGCATTCAAATATGCAAATAACTTATAGAATCTGTTATATCATATATTTGCTATAACATTAGTTAACAGTGGCTTTGTTTGGTGATAAATAATGGTTCATATTTTTTTAGGACAGTGTTTATATATATATATATATATATTCCAGATTATTGAACCTTCAAAAATGGTTTGTAAATACTAATAATTTATTTTTGTAAAATTTAATACATGAAAAAGAAGTGGATTATAAAAAAATTTATGAAATTAAGAAAAAACTAAACTATTGCAAAGAAGAATATCTGTTTTTCAAAATTTATGGTTTCTAATTTAGTTCTGTTTTTAATAATGTTTTTTGATGATAGTCATATCTATTATATGTTATAATTTTAATAAATATAAATAACTTGTAATAACAAGTGATTATTAGAAAATTGTTTATTTAAGTTCAATTCAAATTGCTTTAAACTTTTAAAAAAATTTTAAAATATTTTGAAATGAATTGAAATTAAAGAGCGGCACCTCTCTTTAATTTCAATTCATATTCAAATTATTATACATATGCTTAGAAATGTTAGTTTTTCATGTATTACCTGAAATTTTAGCAAATTAAAGCATTATTACTATTATATGCATTTATGAATATCATTTATTGCTTTAATATCTTTTAACTAAAAAAATTAAAGTGAGTTACAAATACTTGGAAAAAGAACTCACTCAAATATTTTCCCCAACTGTTCACTTTCTGAGTGACCGCAAAAGAGAGTTCTGAAAAAGCCAAGATTTCATATAAATATCTATTTGTTTTTAATTTCACAAATATACTACAGTTTACATACCGTCTACTATACAGTTCAGCAAAAATACAACCAACACTCCACACATCAACTGGCGATGCATAATTTCTTTGTAATAAAACTTCAGGTGATCTATACCATAAAGTCACTACCTAAAAATACATGTGTGTTTATTTCTATTTCAGTTCAAATACAATAAAAAATGTAATTATTTATTTTACAGTATTTATTAAGTATTAAACTTTAAAAATTATATGTTTATTATATTTAATTATAATTTAAAAATATCACAATACACGATTTGACAGATTACCACATAAAATTATTTAATTTTGTTTAAGAAACAAAACTCCAATATGAATATTGGCATTAAGACTTAAATATGAAAACTTACTACAGACGTCAATGCCATTTGCTGTGTATAGATACGAGCCAAGCCAAAATCAGCTAATTTGATTTGTCCTGAATTTGTCACAAGAATATTTTGTGGCTTAAGATCTCTGTGAACAACACGATTGGAATGTAAGAAGTCTACTCCACTAAGTAATTGGTACATTATATCCTAAAAATTAAATAAATCATTATTAATTAAAAGTTCTGCAATTTATTTTTCATTTAAAAACAATTAATATTTTATTGATACTATGAAAAATCAAATACTTTGGAATGCAGTTAAAAACTATTAAAATGATAAATTCTTAAAATTAAGATGTTTTCATTATGAAGTGAAACATTAAAGGAAATTATTTGATATATCATTTATATTATTACAGAAAATTTAATATAATCTTCTTTAAAACAAATAATGAAAAAAACACTTGGCATTTATTTGACTGTTAAAAACTCATCCTGTTTTATATGGATACCAAAAATATTTATTTAAAGAATGTATTTGGCTCAAATAGAGCCAAATACAATTTACAAATTGAAGAGAATCAAACAATTTTCAATGATTGTACAATAAAACCTAACATTTTAAAATAATTTAAACTTCAGCATTTCAATCAGCATTTCAATGGTTATGTTCCATTAAACAATGATTAAAAATCAATATTTGATTCCATTCAATTTGTAAACTGAAAATGGCTCAAATGGAGTAAAAACATTCTTTAAATAAATATTTTTGATATCTGTATAGACCAGTTTATTAATAACTTAATCCAATTCTGGAAAGTAGATATATGGATTATTAAAAATTTTATGAACTCAAAGCTAAAAATGTATTAAAAATCACAGTATAATATTTAAAAAAAGACTAAACTAGTTTTTAAAATAATGTCTGAGGTTTTCATGTTTTATCTTTAATATATGATAAATAAGATTGTTATTCTACAACATGTAATTTTACAGTATTACAATTTATAACTTACATATAGTACTTTTAATATTCATAAGTATGGCATCATTTAGAACTAGAATTTAATTCTAAAGTAAAAGTTATTTTATTTTATTACAAATTAAATTTTGTTAAAGTTAGAGATTTAATAATTAAATTTAGAATATTTATTTCTGCAGTTTATGAACAAATGTAGATTTGTTTGTTAAATTTTTTGGAACTAAAAATGAAATAACTTTTTGGAAATTGAAAATAATTTAGAATTTTGTTTGAAAAAATATATACAGGTATACCGCGCCTTACGTCGGTAATTGGTTCCAGGAAAGCGACGTAAGTCGAAAAACGACGTAAGTCGAATTTACTTGTCTCCGAATCTACTTGTCACTAGGCTAAACCATAAATTACCATTCCCGGTTCTGTATTTTATTTATTAAGCTTACAAACAATTTTATTAAATTTTAGTTTTTAATATAGTACAAAAAAAGTAATCTAAATTTACGAATGCATGTACTGTAAATACAGTACATACTTGTAAATGTATATATTTTAATGTGATTTTATGTGCTTTAAACGCTTTTCTAGTGATATTATGACTTCAATATTTGTGGCGGACAGACATAAAGTCGAATAAAATGACTTAAACTTAATTTTTATTTTTCCATATACTTTTTTGACAAATGACGTATAATCGGGAACGACGTAACTCGAAACGACGTAAGTCGAGGTATACCTGTATTACTGGTATTTATGTAAAATGTCAAAACTTAATGAAATATCTGAATTCTTAGATTATCACTATGCAATATATAATATTTACTATTTGCTTATTATGTAAGAAAGAGTTAAATAAAAGTTATCATTATATATAATGTGACTGCCCTTAGAAACACAAATTTGGAAAGACAATTGCAGTACATAAATTTTAAATGCACAAATTTATTTTTGGGTCTCATTTCTCAATTTTTATTTCAGTTAATAAACTTCTAGTTGTAGGGACCATTCAAGTATTATGTCAGCAGTTTATGGAGAGGGAGAAATTCATTTGTATCTGATGATTGATGATAATAGGGGAAAGGGAATGAGTCTTTTATAATGCAAAATTGCACCTATTTTTATTTATTTTTTTCTAGTCATCACAAAACTGTTGGAAAATAATTCCTGTGTATTTACAAATGATTTAAACTACTGGCCTAATGACATAATTAAGGGAAGTACCTTGATTTCCAATGATGTTGGGAGAGGGGATCAAAAAGGGTAAATTCCATATCTTTATCAAGTAAAGATATGGAATTTGCCCATATCTTTACTTGATGTAACTAATCCTTTAATTTTCACTGAAAAACAGTAATTTTTCTGAATATTTAGTTCATCCATATTATAAAATTGTGATCAACTTTATTTTTAGGCCATGCACAATTATAATTGCAACAAAAGTATAATCCCTTCAGAAGTTAGAAAGTAGTATTGGTATCAACTAAAGAATTGTTCATTTTTATGTAATTTCTATTGGTTTTGATAAAAATGTTACCAAAAACATGAATAAAATAAGAAACATTATTGCATGTTAGTAAATGTTATTAGCTGTTACATCTAAAAATTATTTATCAACATCAAATAGTAATGGAAATATTTTGAAAAATTACACTTTCTGTAAAAAATTATTTCCTACTAATATACATATGATGTTGATAAATCAATGTTTTTATTTGATGAAAACAAAGTAAAAAAAACAATCATATTGTATCTTGTTCTAATGCAAATAGAAAAATGTTATTAATATTTGATGGCAAAGTTAAGATTGTTAAAAGCTTAACAGCCTTAAAGATAGTTTTAAATTATTACATTTAATAATTTAAAGCTATCAGTTTCAGATAAGCAAAAACAGTTCATTATTTTAATTCTCAGATTTTATGAGCAGGCTGAATTGTTTTTCTTTCAGTCAAATTCCATCTTTTTAAAATAAGATCCTTTGCTCTCAGTATTAGCTAAGGTTAGACAGATAATTAGTAATCCATTTCAAAAGTTTTATTTCCAAAAAATTCAAAACAAAAATTTTTTCAACATAAATTATAAATTTTTGTGTGCTTGTTTGAGCATATCATATATCAATTGGCATTTAATCCCTTTTTTATATATAATACCATATACTTTTTACAATTACATAATACATAATTTTATTGAAGAGTTATCATATAATTGAAACTATTATTACATTATATGCATGTTAGCAGGCATATAAGGCAATAATAATTTCAATTGTATGATAATCCTTCAATAAAATTATGTATTATGTAATTGTAAAAAGTATATTGTATTATCAAAAAGGAGTTCTAATTAAAAAGTATTTATTGTTGGCCTACAATTAAAAGTAACAACAAAGAATCAAAAATGAACTAATAGATGGAATCAATTTAGAGATTTACAAAATTTAAAAAACAAATATCAAACAGTAAAGTCAAGAATATACTAGATAAAATGAAGTAGGATGGCAGATGTCCAGTTTTGAACTGGACAATCCAATATTTTTGTATCTGCTTATCAACAGGTGTTCATTTATTACAATACCTTTACAGAACCACCTGGAAACATTGTAGTGATAAATATAATAAAAATATAGATTTAATCTGTAAATGGCAATTATAAAGATATATCAAAACAATTAGATAACTGTTGAAATGACAAAGTAAAAGATGAACAATAGAACAAGTTTGAAGAGCATTTGGTAAAGATAATAAAATTTAATGAAAAGAAATAAAAATTCTGATAGATAACAAAATGAATTTCTAATTAAAAATTATAAAATTACTATTAAAGACAAATCAAATGAAAACGTGGTTAAAGTATTGAAGAAATTGACTTCCTTAATGATAATCAAAAATGAAAAAACATTTAAAAATCAATCTTACAAAATTATTGAATTACTAAAGAAAATTTTTATTAAATTATTATTACTTTTACTATTATACGATTACATCTATTAGTCATTATATGTATTATATCAAGCAAGAATAATGCATTACATTTTTGGGTGTGCAATTCTCTTGCTTTGCAAATTTTAATAAAATTATTTCAATCTTTGTAGTAAACATATAAAGTATAGCTTTCTATTTGGAAAATACAGTTTGATTAGTTAAGTTTGAAGTATGAATCTTAATTTTGTTTTAAATGTTTTATAAATCAAAAACATACAATGCTTAAGTAAAATGATGTTTTTCTTTCTTAAAACCAATATTATATAGTTTATTGATTCTTATAAGAATTCAACAGATTTAAAGTTTTTTAAATGAAATTAAGACTAATATAAAACTGACTAGATTTTGGTACAGTCCAGCACTCTCTTCCTTCTGTTCCTGTGTCTGTACCCATCCTTATCAGACTGCTTGCATTTGTCATAGATACAAATAGTAAGGCCATAATTTAAGGGTAAACAACAAATTCCAAAAACCATACTATTTTGTTTTTTATTAATTTACTTTACACATATGCTGTTAGGATTCTCAATAGCTTAGGCTGCCTATTTTTCAGGGAAATGTATCTCTTGTAGTAGTGGTTTGTTTTCCTGCAGGAATTCATAAAATTCCATATAGCTGTGTTGCAAGTGTACTTTGCAATATTAATAATATTTTATATTGTTATTTATTCTGGTAAATCCTATATATAGCAATACACTGTATGCTGCTTTTGCGACAACTGTCTGCGTATATACAAGATTCACACCTCTGACAAGAAGGATCAGGATGACAAAGATTTTTACATACAGCCTCACTATTTCTATAACAATAATAACTAATAAATGGTAGCAATTGTTTAGTTTACAGATATATGCACTATTAAAATAAATCAGGATTCTGAAAAGAGAATTCTCCAAGATCCTTCAAAATATATATTTTTCTGGGAAATCCTAGAATATGGGACATTTTGGCATCCCAACGAAAACCATTGTCTCAATGGTTTTCTCAGTATTGGGATTAGCTAGTGGCCTTGCATTCTGTATTTTGACATCTTGTCAAAATACAGGATGCAAGATCACTAGCTAATAGGAACTACTGTATCCTGCTTATAACTTGCTGAGTTTAAAATCTATTTAACACCAATAGATGTTTTGACCACATAAGTCTGTTGATTTTACATAAAATCTTTTCAAACAAGATAATATTAAATATAAAAAAAATATTTATATAAAAATACTCATAAACATTCATAATTGGACTATGATAAAGAATATAAATTTAGGCATTACATACTTAAAAATTTTACAATTTGAACCATGGAATATCATCATATTTGTTATACCATTGAATAAGTTCATTATCATAAGTACATTGATAACATATCAATATTCAAAAATTCAACATTTTTCTTTATAGAATTCTGATAATTCAATTTATCATCTTTTGATATTTTGAAAGGCACCTGTTTATATGTAATAAATTTGATTTCAGTTATACTCTTTCTTTTTTGAAAGACAAAAAACAAATGTATTTTTCTTTCTTTGTTTCTTTAAGCATATTCCTCTTTAGAAATAATTTAAAATAGCATATATTTTCTTTTATAGAGAGTATTATAATATTTTTAGTAAATTTTAAATCATAATTTAAATGGATTAAAGATCAAACTTAGGTTTTTTTAAAAATTTCAGAAAAAACCAGAAAAAATCTGGGACAGAATTGTAGGTTACTTTTCTTGTTTTCTTTTATTATGGGTTACTTATATTTACTAAAAGTGAGGAAGTAATAAAATCTGCTAAACTGTATTGTGTAAATTGGATTAAATAATTTATGCATATGCATTGATAAGATGTGATAATATTGGTACTATATTCTACAGCAGCGCTGTCCAACTTATCATAGCCCACGGGCCATATTTTCTTCACCAGACATTTCGGGGGCCAAGAAGGTTGGTGATGGCTAATTGGTCGGCCGGGAATCACGCCACATGACATTTGCATAGTGCTACGGTCTGTAAGCACTAATTGGTCAGCGAGTTCGATGTTGACGCTATAAAAAGGCGACAGTTCGACACACCGGATATACGTCACTCTCGTCTAAGTTCGACTTGGGAATTTTTTTGTTCAATAATAAATGTGAATTCTTCTTCCTGGAAAAATAAGACCTAGCGCATTTTTCAGAGCAAAAATTAATATAAGACACTGTCTTATTTTCGGGTAAACACGGTAGTAAAATAATTTTAATACAGTATTAATAATAATAATTTAGTAACATAAATTTAAAATGTACTCGCGGGCCGTAAAAATTATTTGGCGGGCCGTAAGTTGGACAGCGCTGGTTTATAGCATAGTTTATATGGATTATTCCCAAAAAATTATACGTATATTTGGAAATGTTGAGTCAAATTAATCTAGAATCGATTAATTTTATGTAAGAAACCTTTCAAACAGCCGTAGTCCGTAAACTGCATACGTGCCAGGCTGTGATTGGCTGGACTCATAGAAAATGGATTCATAAAAACCGGAACATACCTACCGTGTTATAGGGGGGGTCGACTGTACAGTAGAACGTCATTTATCTGAAAGCCGGTCAACTGAAACATTTCTTAACTGAAAGCGTTCCAGTTAGCAAATGTGGTGTGCAACTTTTGGCTATGTCTTGGGCTACTCCAATATTTTTTTTGTTGGTGTGTGTGTTTTAACTGGCAGCACTGGGCACTTTTGTGTAGCGTTTTTCTGAGGACTATGTGTCATGCTGAATTGAACATTTTTGATACTAGATTAACTTCTAAAGTTTTTTTCTTTTGTTGTTTTTATATTTTTCAATATATATATTTTGTTTGTACAAAATAAAGAAATAATTTTTAATGATACAATAGCCATGATTATTATTATAAAAATTTTTGTTAGGCTTAACATCAATGAAAATTCGATGCAAAGCAGCACAAAACAGAGAAAAATTTCAACATAGGATAGGTTAATGTATTTTTTCGTACATAATCGGTTATCCGAAAAATAAGTTATCCAAACAACCCCAGTCCCCAATTGATTCGGATAAATGACGCTCTACTGTAGTATCTTACCCATATACACGTTGAAATCTAATTTGAATAACAATTTCATCAATGATTCCCGTCGTGATGTCTAATAATGCAAGATGATCTTGGCACCACTAACTTCTGAATCAGTAGTTCTGTCATTGATTGGTCAGCCATCGGTTTTCTTTAACACAGAGTTATCATAATGCACTGGGGCAAATATGGTGTTCAAAATCTTGTTCATAAACTGAATTGTTTGAAAAGTGAGATGTTTGAGACTCGAGGTTTGACTGTATTCTTAAAAATTGAAATGTGTCTTATACTTGTTTTCTTCAATAAAAAGTAATTTAAAGTTAAACAAATATTTTACAGATATAGAATAGAAAACTATAAATACTTCTTAAATTTAAACATTATTTTTTGTGCTCAAATTTCAATTATTTGATTAGTGAAGTTTATTACTCTCTTTGAAAAAGATCATGCACTTTTTGAATTTTATTTATTACATTTAAATTTGGAATGTTTTTGATTCTGGAGTATTTTGGACATTGTGAAAACATTCATGCTTATTGAGAAACCAATACTTTAGAAATAAAGATGTTGTTATAGGTTTTGCTATATATAATTTACAAATAATCATACAATATTTAAAAAATTATTATTATTAATTATGCTAATTTATTAGCTTGAATCCAGAAAACCAAGAATTTGTTTTAATTACTAATATTCCAAAGTATTGATATATTTCTAACAATCTAAAATTATTACTCTGGTTATTAATGTGATTAATAGTCAATTTTGATATAATCAATAATTTAATTCTTTTAAAAAAATTATTCATATATTATTATAATAGATTTAATTTTAATTTATTATTATTTTTTATTGTTATATGAATAAAAAGGAAAATGATAGACTGAGAGATGAAGATTTATACAAGTTTTTAGCTGATCTGAAACGGCCGCAATCAGTTCATAAACGTTTAAAATGTATACCAGGTATGATGATATATTAATATTTTCATATTTTTATGTTTGAAAATAATGTTATGGAAGGCTTCACTTATTACATTCTGTTTATTAACTACTAGCAGATGAACCAAGCATTGCCTGGGCAAAAAATAACAACAAAGATTACAATTATTAGATTATTTCATACTTCTAACTCTTCTATTATATTATATTA